GAGGACCTTCGGGTCCTAAGGAACTTCGCCTCTTATAAGAGGGTTTTGGTTCCTAAGGTCCATTTTTCTCGTTTTTATCCCGTTTTAAGCCGTTTTTGACCCGGTTAAGGGTCGGAATGACCCGAATGATTCTAAAAAGTTACGGGAAACTTTTGAGAGAGATTTGGGAGAGATTTCTCACACTTGGAGAGATTTGGGAGAGATTTAACATTCTTGGAGAGATTTCTCATACAAAGAGATATTTGAGAGAGATTTCACATACTTGGAGAGATTTGGGAGAGATTCGACATTCTTGGAGAGATTTCTTACACTTGGAGAGATTTGGGAGAGATTTGACATTCTTGGAGAGATTTCTCATACAAGGAGATATTGGAGAGCGGTTTCACATACTTGGAGAGATTAGGGAGAGATTTGACATAGAGAGAGATAGAGTGAAAACGATTGAGAGAGGTTCCGTGTGGGACAGTTGTGAGTGTCCGGCACCGCAATGCATGGTTCGTAAACCCTGTTAAGCCTTGTTTAAGGATCTTACACACTCCCGATGAGTATGCATAATTGTTTTATCAGTTTGGCTCGCCACGTACTACAGTTTTTAGGTTAAAGAGATCTAGTTGTACGTACTTTTCGATTTATGTTCTCTTATTAGAATAGTGAGTTGTTTAGTAAATACTGAACGTAAGTCCAAGTACACAAGGGTTAGTTGAGCTGACCGGTTTGACTTGTTGACTTTATTTGACTTTGAATTGACTAGAATTTGACGGTTGTCACAAAAATGAGGTTTGATGTTCCAAAGCTGAAAATACCAATGTCTAATGAGAAACTTGTTCCTTCTATTGTGAAGACATCGTAATTGGAGCTCAAAAAGTACGCATATCTTGGAGACAAAGAAACTTTGCCAATGATCATCTCCACCAAGTTGTCAACAAAAGAAGAGGAAGAGCATCTCCACCCGTGTGCAAAACGGGTGGAGAGTTTGCATTGATTATAGAAGACTCAATTCCTCAACTCGGAAAGACCATTTCCCACTTCCCTTCATTGATAAAATGTTGGAAATGTTAGCGGGAAAAACACATTATTGTTGCTTGGATGGGTATTCCGGTTTCCATCAAATACCCGTTGCACCCGAGGACCAAGAAAAAACTACTTTCACATGTCCCTTAGGAACATTTTCATATAGGTGAATGCCTTTTGGACGTTGCAATGCTCCAGCCACTTTTCAAAGGTGCATGGTAAGTATTTTTTCGGAATATGTTGAGGAAATCATTGAAGTTTTTATGGACGACTTCACAGTTTATGGTAATTCTTTTCATGAGTGTTTGGGTAATTTGAAAAAGATTTTACAAAGATGTATCGAGACCAATCTTGTTTTGAATTATGAAAAGTGTCACTTTATGGATGACAAAGGTCTCATACTAGGTCATATTGTGTCTTCTAAGGGTCTAGAAATGGACAAAGCAAAAATAGATGTCATAAAATCTTTACCTTATTCCACTTGTATTCGTGAGGTATGCTCATTTCTTGGTCATGAAGGATTTTATAGAAGGTTTATCAAAGATTTTTCCAAGATATCTCGTCCCATGTGTGAGCTCCTACAAAAAGATGTAGAATTCAAATTTTCCAAAGAGTGCAAGCAAGCTTTTGATCAGTTGAAAGAGTTGTTGATAACAGCACCAATACTTCAATCACCGGATTGGAGTTTGCCTTTTAAAATCATGTGTGATGCCAGCAATCATGTAGTTGGTGTAGTGTTAGGGCAAAGAAAAGACCGTGTTCCTAATGTCATTTACTATGCCTCAAAAACACTTATAGTGCACAAGCCAACTACTCAAAAACTGAAAAAGAATTGCTATCTATTGTCTTTGCTTTAGAAAAATTTCGTCAATACCTGCTAGGTTCTAAAGTCATTGTTTATTCTGATCATGCAACTATTAGGTATCTACTTGCAATAGAAGGATTCGAAGCCTAGACTCATTCGATGGGTATTACTCTTGCATGAGTTTGACATTGAAATCAAAGACAAGAGCGGAAAGTCAAACCTTGTAGCTGATCATCTTAGCCGAATTATTTCTCCTGGTGACTCGACTCCAATTCATGATGCATTTCCTGATGAGAACTTATTTTCAGCAAAATTCGCCCCATGGTATGCTGATATTGTGAACTACATCGTCATAAATCAATTTCCGCCAGATTTGACTCGATGGCAAAAAGACAAGATCAAGAAAGAAGCCAAGAGGTATGTTTGGGACGAGCCATATTTATGGAAATATTGTGTCGACCAAATGATTAGACGATGTGTGGATCAACATGAGGTACCTTCTATCTTAACATTTTGTCACTCTTATGCTTGTGGAGGGCATTTTGGTCCTCAAAGGACTGCAAGAAAAGTATTAGAGAGTGGATTTTACTAGCTAAGTATTTTCCGTGACTCTTATGTTTTTTGTGCAAGTTGCGATAAATGTCAAAAGATGGGATCTTTAAGCTCAAAGAATCAAATACCCCTCAATCCTATATTAGTTTGTGAAATTTTTGATGTTTGGGGTATTGATTTCATGGGACCTTTTCAATCATCTTCGGGTTTTATTTATATTCTTTTGGTTGTGGACTATGTTTCCAAATGGGTGGAAGCAAAGGCTACCCGTACTAATGATTCAAAAGTTGTTATAGATTTCTTGAAGGCTAACATTTTTTCCAGATTTGGTGTTCCAAAGGCCCTAATCAGTGATCGTGGTACACATTTTTGCAATCGTATGCTTGGGAGTGTTTTGAAGAAATATGGTGTCACTCATAAAGTTTCCACATCATACCACCCACAAACAAATGGACAAACCGAGGTGAGCAATCGACAAATCAAGGGAATTTTGGAGAAAACTGTGAATACAACAAGGAAAGATTGGATTACACTCCTTGATGATGCTTTGTGGGCATACCGCACTGCATACAAAACTCCAATGGGAATGTCTCCATACCGTATTGTTTTTGGAAAGCCGTGTCGATTACCCATTAAGTTGGAACATAGGGCCTATTGGGTGATCAAGCAGTTCAACATGGATTTAAGTGAATCGGGAAAGAAGAGGAAGCTGGACATACAAGAACTTGAGGAAATCCGCAATGAAGCATATGAGAATGAAGTTCTTTATAAGGAAAAGAACAAAGCATTCCATGAGAAGATGATTACACGCAAGGTATTTCACAAAGTTCAAAAGGTACTACTTTACCATTCGCGTTTTAAATTGATTCCTGGTAAATTAAGGTCCCGTTGGGTGGGACCATTTGTTGTCACTAATGTTTTTGAGCATGGTGCAATAGAAATCACAAGTGAGAAAACTAGGAAGATTTTTATGGTAAATGGTCAGCATTTGAAGCCTTATTATGAAGGATTTCAAGTCAAGAATGAAGATGGAGGAAGTAATGGATCCAAAGTATCAAGATTGACAAATAGTTGGGGTCCAAGTCGAGCCAACGACATTAAAAAGGGGCGGCTAACCGGGAGGCAACCCGGGGGTATTTTTGCCATCTCTTATATTTTCATTGTATTTTCTTTGTTTTCAAACTTCCAATTTGTTTTTTCATGCTAAAAGAGGGTAAAAAATCATTTTCCGGGCAATAGTGGAGTAGCGGGTTCCAATTTCAAAAAGTGAAAAAATCAAAAAAATTTGGCCTTTACAGACATTTACACGGCTGTGTAAACTTATGCTTATGGTTTACACGGGCCGTGTAAATGACCAGCCACCGTAGTCAAAATTCTGCATTTACACATCCGTGTAAATTTTGCCCTTCTGTTTACATGGGCCGTGTAAACGTAAAAATAGAGCTGGACGTTTTTTAAGGCTAAAATCGATTTCTTTTGTTCATTGTTTTCACAATACTTGTGTTTTTTTCTCCTCCCTTCAGCCCTCTTCGAAAAAAAACCCTTAAAAACACTCCATCTTCCTCAATTTTGTTCCAAAAATCAAGCTCCAAGGTATGAAATTCTTCTCTTTTCTTCATCTTCTTTATCTTCCACCTCTATTCCACCATTTTCATGGCCGATTTTGGGGTTTTTGAGCAAAGCCTAGAATTTTTGAACTTGCAAATCTTGACCTAATGTTTATAATTTCTTCTAGGATAAGCTTGGGGAAGCATTGGATATCACCCTACCACCATTTTCAAGAACAAATTGGTATAATTGTTCCAAACTCTTACTATGTGCATTTAGATAGAATCATATTCCTTTTTGGGTGATTTTTGGTAAAACTTGCTAGTTCTTGTGCTTCAATTGTCCTAAATTGTGTGGAATACTTTGTTGATTCATTTGGGTAATGGCTTCCCGGGGTAAAAGACATAGAATTGGAACTTCACATAATGAACAAGACCCACATCCCATGGAAAACCCTTACGAATTTGGTCTTATTTTTGAGACCAATCAATAAGAGATTTTATATTCAAATCTTGTTAGAAGAACAATGGGAGTTCAATAGTTTGTGGACATCCAAGCCCTTAAGGACTTACATATCTATAAAGGTGTCCACAAGATCTTTAAAAACATAGGATGAGAAGGTCTTTTGAATCTACATGCAGTTAGTTATCAAACACAAATGTTGGAATTTTTGTCCTCGATCACCTTTGACTATCAAACCCATATCCTTACTTTCCGTTTGCTCAATCAAACCCATCAATTTCATGATGACATCCTATGTGATATCATTGGTGCCCCTAAAGCGAGAAGGGATGTATACATAGCAAAGGGCAGAAAAAATGTCATTTTTCGGCAAAACTGTGCAAGTTTTTGGAGAAGCATCTTTTGTGAGTATGAGTATCAGTCATGCACAACCAAAGCTTCTAGCATTATTCATCCGGTCTTGAAAGTCACCCATCGGATCATTGCTTCTCTCTTATTTCCTCAAGAAGAGATTAGCAAGGCTAATAAGAAGGAGTTAGAAGTTTTGTGGTGTATGATTAACAAGCCTGCAGAAGTCCCTCATTTTAGGTGTTGGGTAGTTCAGAAAATGCTCTGAAATGCCATGAGCAATCGTGGCCAGCTACATTGTGGAGGCATGGTATCTATTATAGTTGAGCATCTTGGCCTCCATATACCTAACAATCCAACTAATATAATTCCGGGGCGCACTCATTTATCACTTGAAGTTTTGGAAATCATGCATCTCTTTCACCGCCATCCCAATGGGGATGTTCATTGGACTGTCGATGGTAAATAATATTTACGCATCGATATCCGAAATAAGAAGATATTAGCCTTGGCCAATGACATCCCTTCTACCATTTGGCACCTGCAATCCAACTTGGGTGTTACTGCAGCTCATAGACCTTCAACCACCACTTCTACTCCTCTTGCTCAAACTGCAACTGCAGGTGCTTCCAGCTCGTCTTGCCCAATTCCTTATCCCGAACATAAGCTTTACATGGGCGAGTTTGCACGTTTAGATCATCAATACATGAGCCTTCAGCAGGAAGTAGGAGAGATTTACACGGGAGTTGCTGAAATCACCTCCGACTTTCACGACCACCGTAACTTGCAAGGAGAGCGTTGGGCCCAACAAGAGCCGTGGTGGGCTGAACAAGATCAGCGATGGATCGCTCAAGAGCAACACAACCGCAATATCCATTATTTTATGAGTGACCTTCGCCGAGTTCTTGTCCTTCCTACGCAGCAACAACCACCATCATCCCAACCCCAATGGCATTCATATTATCATACTGATTATCCTTCACAGTTCCCACCATATCCTCCACCGCCCGATCCTCAATAGGACGACTATGCCTCTCTCCAAGCATCGAGGACGATGCTTATTTTAAGCTTGGGGAGGGGCATTCATCCATGCATTATCCCGTTGCATGTAGGTTGCATGTAATTTTGTATATATTACATCGCATTGCATTATTTTTCTTTTCATTTTTATTTTTCTTTGTCATTTTTAGAAAAAAATTCAAAATCCAAAAAAAAAAAATTCTACTCTATTTTTATTATACTTTTGTATTTTGCATCTAAATTTTTTGCATTACATTAACAAAAAGATTTTTGATCCAATCCCAAGCAACCAAATCTTCTCAAAACAGTTGAGATGGTAAGTGAGTTGTGTGCCTTGAGATTTAACCTGCTCTTTTTATTGAAAATTTGAAAGCAAGTTAATCACACACGAGCACATCTCCCGAAGCTACTTGTGCAAAACAGATAATGAGAAAATTGTCAACTCTCGAGCATAACAGCAGGTATGAGTCGATTCTTTGGGACATATGACTGGTCTTATGAGTAGTAAGTGCTCAATTGAACTTAAAATGCCAAATTCAAAAGTTCATAAAAAGAATGCAAAATATCAATGTCCCGAGCCTTCCAGTGCTCTTAGAAGTCCTTTCTACTCATTCCCTTTTATATGCCCTTCTTGGGGACATAGTTTTCAACTATACTTACGAGTCTTTGCATGTTAACCTTTAGCCCCCTAAAAAATGTCTTAGAAGTCCTCACGGTAATAGACCGTGAGATGTCCCACAATAGAAAAGTCAAGGACGAAAATATAAAGAAATTGGCCAAATAAATAAATAAATTAATAAGAGTGTTATGTGTTAACTTAGTTATTTGTATATGTGATCTTTAAAAAATTATTTATTAAGTTAATCTGTGACCTTTGGGATTCGAACAAGTAAACTCTGAGGGATGTTTTACACCTAATCGCCTAAAGCTAAATTGTTTGGGACTGATTGAGTTGAAAATTCGTTACATGGGTTCCATAAAAAGTCATGAACTTAATAATAACAAATAAAGCTAATCTGTAGCCTTTGAGGTTCGGGCAAGTAAACCCGATGGATCTCTTTAAATCTAGCACAGTAAGGTCATTTGATTTGGATATGTTTGTTGGAAGCCCGTTACACGGATTTTAAAGAAAGCCATGAGCTTTATTTGTAAAAAATATAATTAAGAAGTTTGTATATAATTGTGTTTATAGTTTAATTGAATATTGTGTTTAGGAGAAATACTTGGTTGTCAAAAGATTCCCTTGGACTTGGATTTGAACTTATGACATTGGACTGAATGTTAATTACTTTGACTGGTGTAAGTGGTTTGAAGTTTGTAACCAATCTGGATAAATATTAGAGAATTTTTAGAAAAGATTTTTCAGAAAAAGACTGTTGTTGACCAAAAAATAGCTGGAATCGGGCATTGTTATATTTTATGAAACAAAGATGGTTGAGCATGTTTTGTCACATGTAATTTCACGAGAGTAAGACCATAATTTTCTTCAAGAATTGACTTGATGATATTGAAAAGGAATAAGTGTCGTGATCTTCGATTCTGTTGAGTTGTATTAGGGAGTGGCTAAAGTCTTATTTCTATTATCATATAATATTTTGAGACAAAAGCCAAGTTGACTCAAGGCATGACAGGTACATTCTCAACTATGGTATAAAACAGGGTAATTGGGTTGGATCTTTTCATGTTTGTTTTGATTTCATGCGTTAAGTTTCAAAATGTTTTAACTTTAATTTTCTTTTCTTCTATTTTATTTTATTTTCTCCAGTTTAAATCTCTTGTTCTTTCTTGAGGACAAGAAAGGTTCAAGCTTGGGGAGATTTGTTAGGTGCATTTCATGCATTCATTTTGTAGTTTTAGCTCATAAAAGTGCATTGCATTTAGGTTTAAACTCATGCATTTTGCATATTTTTTGGGATTTTTCATGATGAAAGTCCATTCACACACTTTTATGATATTTCAGGGACTTTTGAAGTTTGGATCTTGATGGAGGAAGTTAAAAAGAGTTGGAGACAAAGTTTCAGAAGTTTTGGAGCATTGAAGAGAGAGAATGAAGAAATAAAGAATTTGGCTTCACAAATATTTACACGGCCGTGTAAATAATAGCTTATAGTTTACACGGGCCGTGTAAACACATATACAAGAGCATCGACTTCGAAGGCCTGGAGGATTGAGCATTCTACTTTTCTTGTTTACATGGTCGTGTAAATGGCACCCTTTAGTTTACACGGGTCTTGTAAACGTCTCGACAGTTTTTAAAGCAGTTTTATTCTCATATAATTCAGACAATCAATTTTTTTGGAGGTTAAGTCGGATTTTGGGCAGAGAGAAGGCGATTTTCAGAGTTTTGGGAAGTAGATTAACACTTGGAAACACTTTAATTTTCTTTTTGTAAGTCAATTTGAAGTTTAAACTTGTTTGATTTGTAGTTTAACCTAGACATGTGTGGTTGATTTCATTATCATTTCCAAATCTGAATTCTTAAGTATGTGTTGTTAGGTTGTAACTTGAACTTGATTTGTGTTTAACATCTAGTAATCTTTGATTTAATCTTAATCATGTGTTTGGTTTATTCTTTTTTTTCATTTGATCAACGGATTAGGGTGCTTATCAATCTAGTTAATCAAATTGTAAAATTCGTATATGTTTTATGATTTGATGTTAGTAACATGCACTTAACATATTGTAATTAAATCAAAATGAGTGTAATCAAAGATTAAATGTTCATAATCCCAAGCTTATGAGGAATATTGAACATTGTTGGTAATTGTTGCAAGAACTTAAAGTCATTTAATGATTTGATGAAAGAGCTTATTTAAATTAAATCAATTAAATGAAGTTTTATTTGAAGAACATGTTTTGAATAAAACATTTTTTTTTTGTCAACTTGGATATTTTTAGTTTATTAGTATCTAAATTGCCAACCTAAATAGAACATAATCATATTCATTTTGCATCTTTCAACATAATACATGTATAAGAATCAGAATCGGAAATGTATTTCTTTTACTAAATTCTGTTAACAATATTGTTTATTTATGAAGTTTAAATCTAGTTCAAACACAATCCCCCATTTTAATATTATTTTTATTATGTGTGAAAATATGGCAAGATAAGAAGTCTTGTATTCATGTGGACCGACCCTGCTTACTTTATACTATCTTTAGTATAAGAAATAGTAGTGACATGAGCTTTATTAATTTTATTTTATCCCATTATTTGTTGGTTTGACAGCTAAACAATACTCCATAGAGGTTAAAATCCATGGAGCCTAAGGAATGTGGAAAGTCATACACAATAGGGTTTGCATGGTGTAACCCTAACTAAGCCACACTATATAAGAAGCCCCTTAGCCTCCAAAATGGTGCACTAGTTCTTGAAAGATCATTGAGCCGATATTGGTGTGAGGATATTCTCTCAAAAGTCATCCTTTGTCCAAAGGTATGTTGTGATTCCATTTGAGGCATTCATATTGTTGGTGCTAAGTTCTTAAAGGCCAAAACTACAAGCTACAACAAAGAGGTAATTCTATAACTCATTTCTATGATGTTTATGTCACTCTTATGCTATTTGTAGGCTTAATGCTTTGGAAACAATATTGTATGTATAATTAGAGAAAACATAGATCCAAAGCATCTAGGGTTGCATGTACACCATAGGAGTGTTAGAATGCTCAAAACCCTTCAGTCGTATCATAGCCTAGGGTTGTTTTCCATTATACTTGATGCTACTTGTTTTTAAAGCTTAAAAAAATCGATTTTTGCTTTCTGGCATGGACTTATCGAGCCGACTGGGGAACTCGCCAAGTCAGTTCATGCACTCGACGAGCTGTTATTGAACTTGTAAACATGTTTTTGATGTGGTAATGATCATGCTTATCCAATTTAAAAGATAATTGTCAAAGTTTCATGATTTGTATTAGTTTAAAACATTAGGCTAATTTCTTGAAACTTGTTTGATATGAACTCATAAGTTTAATTAGATCACAGGAAAATTGTTTGATTTTCTTGTTAGAACTTTTGATCTAATTGTTTTGATGAAACTCATAACTTGTCCTCAAGTTATGCAAAGTGAAAAGTCTCCTTTTTAAATGTCATATTAAGTGGTTTTAAGTCTTCCATAATTTACCCTCAAGCTATGTAACTTGAAGAGTCTTTTACAAAAATGTTTTTATGAACTCAATAACTTGTCCTCAAGTTATGGAATGTTAAGAGTCTTTTCATTAAAACCTATATTAAACTTATAAGTTATGGAAATGAAAAGTTTTTGGATAGTTCAAAACTTTCCCTCATGTTTTGGAACTTGTAAATGAAAAGTCTTACTTTGAAACATTTAGTTCCAAACTCTAGAATTTTAAAAGTTTAAAATTCAACCCTTATACTATTATAATATTATGGGTTTAATATTTTTATATATGTATAAGAGTAAAGTCAGTCTTACCTTTAGTAGGCCTCATTCATGAAGCCGGTCTATAAGGGGGTATAAGGTTACTGTCTATAAAATGACAGTTTAATGGGTGTCCACTTTTACTCACCGTTTCCTTGACTGGTGGAGGGTCGTTAGCCGAACGGGTTTGACAAAACATGTAAATTCTTATTAAAAATATAATGAAAAACTAAGTAACTAAACACTTATAAATTCCCAATCTTAGTTACTTAGGAAAATGTGAATTTGGTGCTAACTCATGAAATTTCACTTTGCACCTTGTTAAGTTGTTAGCCGACACATTGATTTGGTGGCAAAGGCTAACTTGATGGTAATCATGGATCAATGAAGTGTGTGTGGTTAACCGGCACATTGATTTGGTGGTTGTAACATTGAGTGTACCAAGCTAATATTCATGGTTATTCACACCTTATTTGTGATCCTCGGCATCCCAGTCACAAACTTGAAGGGCACAATCGAGATTTAAACATGCCATTGAAAGTTTCAATGAATCTCAAAGGATCTAGGAATTTCAATTCACTTAAAACCTATTTTTTTCGTATTTCGTGGTGGAAATTG